CTTAAATCACCTTTCTTTCCCATTCTGACATTCAGTTTGGAGTTCAGGAGATTGTCTTGACCAGGACCACACCCCTAAATGCATTGAAGCAACTGACATGTGATTGGTTGATTAGATAATTGCATCAATGAGAAATTGAACAGGTGTTCCTAATAATCCTTTAGGTGAGTGTACAGTTATGATAAAAAAGTGAAATGTGCGAACACATACAATTTTTTTTTTTTAAATTAAGACCAAGCCAAGAAGCTATTTAATTTTGAAGAGAAGTAATTACAGCACTAATTATAATTTGAAAGGCTGGGTTTGCATTTCCTTGGAATGTTCACATATCATGACACAAAAAGAATCATTCTCAGTGTTAGTTTAAGAGCATGACTGTCCTATGGCTGAACCACCTGCCGTGGATTTGAAAAGTAACCACAGGTGGGGAATGTTGATTAAACAATGCATCTAGAATTCAATGACTCCAGTTGTGTGCAGAGTGTGATATCCTCCATGGCAATTCCACCCACTGTTCCACATGCCAATCATGGCCACTGGTTTCCCTGGCAACAGTGCTCCTCTCTAATATTGCAAAATCCACTCTACCAAAATTTTTTTTTCTTCTCTGCGTCCAAGCTGCGCAGCTGGTTTAAAGACTCGTTTGCAGAAAAGTTTTGTCAATCAAGATCAAATTGTTTAGCTTTTGGCAATTTTAATCATGGCAAAAATTCATCCAGAAAAAGTGGAATTCCAAAACGTGTCTAAAAGAAATAATAATTAATAGTCTTGGTACAAAATTATAGATATTAGCTCTCAAAAGCATTCCCAAATGATCTGTTTTCAAAACGCTACATGTCGGGAAGACTTTTTTTAGTGTTGGAATGACGGCATGTTCATCCTGACGAATCATTCTTCATTCTTGATGCGCTATTTACATTTAGATCCTATAGCCTAATGTTAAATTTATTGATTTTCAAGGTCCTCAACTGCTTTGTCGGAAAACAGCTAAGAAAAAAATCTGCCGTTCTTACGGGAATTGCTTGTTCTTGTTGAAACTAGAATTAGGATTAGGTTAGAGGAATGGCAGGAGGACGAATTAAACACTGTGGAAGGTTTAGTTTATGGTTAAGGATTAAGGCAATAAAATGTCACGTGATGAATCAAGAATCAAGACACGACTGCCTTTCTATTAGCTTATGATCCTTGCCTTC